TAAGATTGTGCAAACCTTCTCTCTTTTTTTAGCACAGCTTCCATATGCTTTTTTATTTTTAGATGTTGATAGACATTTATTTTATTCATTTATTTATATGCAGTGCTGAGAATCAAACCTAGTAACTCACACATTGCAGGCAAGCACTCTACCACTGAGCCACAACCCCAGCCCATCAGCTTCCACATTCTTAAGGCCAGCTTTGATGTTTAACAATATTTATTTCCTTAGTTGCCACATTTTAAGTTTATAACATAAAGATGTACCCCTTTGTTGTGTTTGCTGCAAGTGAAATTCTGGCTTTCTTTTAAATAGTGCTATTGCATTGTGTACTAGAATCTGGATTTTTCATGCTATCCTTCTAATAAATCTGTATCACTAATTAGTAATTTAATAGTTTAACTTGGATTTCACTTTTAGCAGGAGTTTGCAAACCAAAGCTGATGAGCAAGTCAAACAGCAGAAAGTCTAAATCTCCTATCCCTGGGCAAGGATATTTAGGAACTGAACGGCCCTCATCAGTATCCTCTGTACATTCAGAAGGTGATTACCATAGACAGACACCAGGCTGGGCCTGGGAAGACAGGCCCTCCTCGACAGGTGAGGAGCCCAGTTTAACTACTAGAAAGCAACTTCTATCAATGCCTTGTCATTCCTTCTTATAAAAACTTAGAAATACTTTATTCCCATTCTGTATGACTAGTAAGTTCCACTTTCCAGAATAAAAATTGAATGCATAGAATCTTCAAAATTTTTAATGCAGGGTCTGATACCATAAACTAAAAAGAGCTATGAAAATAATCTCATCCATTTTCCATCTGTATTTATGCTGGTTGGTAGCCAACATTTGCTATTTGCAAAGCAAATAAGTCTATGTAAAGTGCTACTCCTAAAAGTGACTTCCCCTTGTTAATATTTCCTTAAGAACTTCTTTATGAAAGGCTAAGAAATCAAGTTCAGAAATGAGAAGAAAACTACATCTACATAAGCTGATGAAAGTGTTACTTTGTGCCTTTTCATAAACTTTTTTTTTCCCTTTATTTTATGTGGTGCCTAGCCTCACACTTGCTAAGCAAGCCCTCTACCACTGAGCTACAACTCCAGCATGACTTGCTTTCTTTTAAAATAAATCAGATATTTGCTGTGTATTTCAGAGAATTATATACTGTTCTTCACTCAGGGATTAAATATATATTATATGTAACCAAAAAACTTTTTTTCAAATGTGCTCTCCCAGTGAGAAAAAAAATTCGCATTAGATGAGTACAGTTTAGGGGTTTTCTCTTCTAAAATTCTCATGCCACGTGGCAAGTAGTTATGTATTAGTTGGAAAGCTTACAGCCTAGACAATACAGCTGCTTCTCACATGTTGAGGAAGAAATTACTATTAGACCATAAAAATGGTATGTTTTATGATTTCAGTTTCTTAAGCTAGAGAAGTGTTCAGGGGACACAAGGTAGCAGGGCTCTTAGTGTGCCCTACTTCTATATCTGCCCAGTGAGATTCTGGTAGGTAACACACATCGTGCTGCCCCTTAGCCTGCTGAAGTTTCTGGATACTTGTCCCCTCATCTTCTGAGCATTATACTGCTGCATTTCTCTTGAGCAGCAAATATACTACTTATGGTAACTTTGAAATAATTGTTTTTGGAGGTCTGTTCTTTTGCAAAAATAGAGAACGACTGAATATATAAATACATATTGTATCTATTGCTTTGATTTCATTGAAATAATCACAGAATTGAAAATTTGGGACTTAATGGCTTAATATTCAGTAGTTCTGTGTGATTCTCTATGGAAACATAATAGTAGTTATAGAGGTAACTGAAAGTTCAGCCCTGGGTTCAGCAACCCTTGTGCTTACTCTCATTATTCATGCTTTTTATACTTGCACTGATTGCTGCATGTCACTAGCTAGAATCTTAATCGCTGAAATGCTGGTCCTTCTATGTTGTATTAACTGTGTCACAAGACCATTTTAGCAAAGTAATTCTGTGCTACTCCATCCAACCTAGGTGGTATTAGATGAAACAGCAAGTATGACACTGAGACCTCATTTTTCTTTTGCCAGGCTCAACTCAGTTTCCTTATAACCCTCTGACTATGCGGATGCTCAGCAGTACACCACCAACATCCATTGCATGTGCTCCCTCTGCTGTGAACCAAGCAGCTCCTCACCAACAGAACCGGATCTGGGAGCGAGAGCCAGCCCCTCTGCTCTCTGCACAATATGAGACTCTATCCGATAGTGATGACTGAACTGCACAGGGAAGGAATGGGAAGCAGGGAATGGGCACAGAGGAGGGAGCTTTAGTTTTTTGGTAATTTTATTTTCAGTTGCAGGTCAAAAACCTGCCCTCCCATAACTTGTGCCCAGAGACTTCAGGAGAGCCAGGGCCACAGATGAAGAAAAAATGATGGAAATTCATTTGGAAAATCAAATGGGGGTGGGGGGAACTGCCTCTGATACAGGCTATTCAGTGGATTCTAATAATAGTGGAGGGTTGAAATGTAGTTTCAAAAGTGGACAATTTCTGTTCTTACATCTGTTTATAAAGAAAATCATAATGTCTTTAAATCACTCTTATGTAAATAGATGACCTTTTTGCAGTGTATCCCCTTGCTGTAGTATCTGGTGTACTTATGTTCAAATCAGCGCATCAACGTTGGGGGTAATTTTTTAAAATCTTTTTTGTCTATCTTTTTAACCCTAGCCTTCTAAACAAACCTCATACAGCCCAGTTATAATGTTGGCTGTCACGGGCATTGTACTTTTATCTGATTTTGTTCTCTCTAAATTCAGCTTCCCAGTGATGTTTAAAATTTTGTGAAAATGTTTAGATTTTTAACAGAGACCCTGTCATAAAATCTATACATTAGGGTCAAAAGGTAGGAGCAACAGAATTCTGCCATACTGTAATTTCCAATGCAGGCTTTAAATTTTTTTTCCACTAGTAGCACTGAAAAAAATATTACTGCATGGATATGTTATAGTTCAGTTTTTAAAGTTTTAAAGGCTTATTTGAGGCATACCTCACTGTTATGCACACTGGTAATTTAACCATGCCCCTAAGTATTCCTTTTCTTCTGCATTTGATGCAGTCCAACAAAGCTTTTGTTTTGAAATAAATTTGACTACCCTGTCCATAGCTACAGATTATTTGTTATTTAAGGCTCTGTTGTCTCAGGTTTCAAAGGAAAAACTTACACATTTTTCTTAGTTTGATATATGATTGGTTGAGATAAAATTAGATAATGATCTGTGTATGATCATCTGTGTATTATCTCATTCTCTTTTGTGCTGCATCCTGAACAAGTGTCATGGTGAACATACAGTCCTTTTCCATCTCTACATGTCACCATCTACATTGTTTCCTTGGGAAATAATTTACTATCATTTTTCATTTCACAGATTCAAGGTACAAATAATTTAAAAGACTAAGTCCTAATTATACTGAAGGGTCAGTTTTATCCATCATTAAGAATTGCTTTTAAAATTTTTTCCATACAATTTAATCACAGCATTTAAGCATTTTTCCATAGCATATAAATACTAATGGTTTGGGGAAAATGCTACTGATAACTGGAAGGAAGTCTCAGAATGAGTAATTAGCATTTTATAGACTTTCAAGTAAACCTAAGATAAATCTTTTCAAGCCTCTTAGGTAAATGGGTCTATGATTAACTGCTGACTGAGACCCTCCTATCACCTGTTTTACAGACATAGGCCCATATCGTTCAATAAGTGACAAACAGGCTCTAACCCATGTATGTCTGCAATCAAAACCTTTACACCTGTCAGTCCTCACTTTTCTTCGTCCTCAAAATAAACTTTAGCTCAGGCTTAGTGGTCGGAGTTCTTATTACTTACAAAGTTGAAGCCTTTATAATAATAATCAAACATAATTTTAACGTGAATGGAAAATAACAACTAAATGTTCTAATGAATGTTTTCTGCTTAAAGGTTTTTTTCTTTTTCAGGTACTGATAATATTTTTGAACTTTGTTGCCAACTGACCCAAACAGATCATGATATTTTTCTATGATCCTGAGGGTCTTAAGCTATCTATCCCAAGTCAGGTTAGTTTCTGAGAACCTACTGGATCAGAGCCTAACTTGTCACTTTTGCAGTTCCATTCAAGTACCCCAAGGTGAGCTGCCACTAACACCATCCTCATCCCAACACATTTATGTAATGCTCCATCTACCATCACCTGGAGAAGAGATTTTAGAATGGAAGATAAAAATCCATCATTTTTTAAGTCAAAAACAATAAAAAGACAGAAGAATTCTCATACAGCTTACCTACAAAGCAAATTATTTAAGAGGGGCAGAGGTACATCTTACCATGATGTAAATCTCAAGCACAGCATTTGAGAATGACTGATAACTTGCTGAAGTTAGGTGCAAACCAAGGCATATAACATCTTGGCAGGCAGAGATTTAAAATCATCCTTACAACTTGATTTTTAGCACTCAGAACATAATCAAGGTCTTCCAATACTGTTGATAGAAGTATTTTCACAATTTTCCATTTTATGTTTATAGTTGGATATTTCACAATACAATTTTGGTATGTTGATTATATTTTGGATATATTTATGCCCTGAAAATTCCAGTGACATAAGACACAGTACAGTTCAAAATTTGAAACTACACTATTTTAAACATTTACATTTAAATTCAAACCAATCAGTAAAGGAGGTCGGTCCTTTTCTTGCTTCACTACCTTGTTTTATAACAACTTTCATGAGAATACCCGCATGCAGAGACTTTTTGAAAATTCAGTTTCTCCAGGAGAGGAACCACAAACCGAATCATTGTGGAAGATTAAAAATTCTTAAATAAAACTTGGAGTGAAAAACCTAACTTCTGGTAATGCTTGCAATTGTGAAAAGGTAAAAACATTTTCAATATAGAAGGTGAGTGGTTGACACTACATTTAATTCTTCAGCAAGTTATTTTTCTGAGAAACTAAAAGATTACTGGAATACATACAATATTGTTGTATAGTTTATTATGAAAAGATACTTCCAGTGTATACATATGAACCAAAAATATCTGTTTACCAATTCCACTCACACCCCACTCACAAAGGCATATCAACAATATCAGTGTTCCTTAATGGTACCTAGAAAAGCTATCTTTCCCCCTAAACAAATGGCTTTTTGCAAGTCTGCTGAGGTAAGGAAATCCATCTATGTATCTTGTGTTTACATACTTTGAGGCAGGGCAATAAAGCTCTTTCAACACAGCAGTATATTCATTTAAAGTCATCTGACCAGATACTTTCTACCATGGCTAAGAATCTCATTCTTTCCTCATGTTACAGAAGAGGGTACTAAGTAGAATCAAGGTTGGGAATTTTAAAATCTACATTGGTAGGGCCATACTCTAGTCAGGTCTAGGGTACAGCCCAGGCATTGCTTTAAAGAGGATCTCAGATGACTCAGTTTTGTGACCTCACAGTTGCAAAAAATGTCAGATGCTCCAGGATAGCACTGGCAAGAAAGAGGTTCCATCATTCTTCCCCCCAACCATTAACAGTTACATATAACCAGATAAGTAGTTCACTTTTATTTATGACCAAAAGGCTACTACACTTTCAACTGCCTAATTCCCACTTTAAAACTTCATGCTGGGTGCAAACTAATATAACACTTTTCCTCCTCTGTGTGTTAAATCCCACTGTGCTTCATGAAAGGTAATAGAAACAACTCACCATAATTTCCCTTTGCCATGAGTAGCTCTGGTCTGCCAGATATTGACAAAGTAAAAGAAGAAAGGGCAGCAAATCAGTGAACCAAAAATCTTTCAGTAGCAATGTTAGGCATAATTACCAGACCCCACACCCACAACCCAGAGGAAAAGTGGCCCATCTTAATCTATAATTACACTTAGACCAGCATGGACAGCACCTAACCATATAATACAATGGAAAGCATCATTTGACATCATTCCTTAGAGGTCATAATTAGTGAAGGGTGAAAGTTGTTTTTCCTTTAAAAACAAATGTGGCAGTATGTACAACTTGTCCTTCACCAAGGCTAAGTTGAGGAAACCTGAATATCAAGAACAGAAAATTTACACCACTGATTTGGATGCCACAGACACTAGAATAACAGTTATTCCTTTAGGCCACTAGAAACTACCCTCCCTACAAGAAAAATGGATTTAACGCTTGATAATATTAAGTCAAAGATCTACTTTTTCTTGACAGCTCAGCCAATTCTTCCCTGATGTGCTGTACAGAAACCTCATCTCTTTTCATCTCTGCTTGCTTCAGTGCTTCCTGGTAGATCTCTTCTGCTTGTGTATATCGTTCTAAAATAACCCAGAGAAAAGGAAGAATAAGAAGAAAATGTGTTTTCAAAGTGAATCTGAACAGAAAGCATTAATGAGGATACAGGTGTAATTTACTGTGTATTTATTAGTAAGTGACAAGGCTGGTACTGCCTCATTTTCTCCCTAAATGACAAGCTGATTTAGCCTGGAATGTGGCCCATGTGTAAAACGCCAAGCCACTGAGTGTTGTGGGATTCCTTACTATGTCCTTTCTGGTATACCCTGGGGTCCTCACTGGACTGGCCAAGGACTACACTATGATAATCTGTGTATGCAGACATGTTATCTCAGATTTCTGAAAATTGCAGGTGAAGCCCTAAGCAGTATGTATCATAATGTGCTAACACACACATTCCTAATCACACTAGTTTTGCCAACACAGAAATGCAGTATAGTTGTGAGACAGCAATCTTTAAAGCACTACAAAGTTTCCCCTAGCTTGATAGTGGTTCATCAGGCTAATGCAAAAACTATTATAGAAGTTACCTAAATTAAACAAAATAGTTCTTCAACCTAACAGACATGTTGTTTTTGGCTTTATTCAACCAGCCTTTTAATTTTAGGAGTTTCCTCATTTCCCCTTACCTTCCTTTAAATACCAAAGTAAGAAATATCCCTTCCTAAAGCAAGTCTGTCAAGTTTCCAAGGCTACCTACCTCTGTGTATCAAAATTGCAGCTAGATTACTGAGTACCATGTGCAGCTCAGGATGATTTATCTGTCTTGCCAGATCTGATGCCCTTTGCATGTAAATATAGGCCTCATCAAAGTGGCCCTGTGCGTCCAGAGTAGTAGCCAGGTCACTCATGAGCACAATGGTCTGTTAGATAAGAGAAAAATAGATTTTTCTTTAAAAATACATCATAATATTAATTTGGAGTTAAATTTTGAGTATAGTTAAGATTTCATCTTTCCAGGCATTCCACAAAAGATGAGGAATGTCATCAGTCTTTAACAAATTGTGGGCATTTGTTACTCAAATTATACAATAGATATTAGCTCAACAAATGATACCAATTTTAAAAATTAGGAAATAATCAGATTAATAAGTATTATTCATTTTATCTAATTAGAAGTACCAAGTGAAAAGCAACAGCAAGAAGCTACAATATGATCCCACTAAAGGTTCAGCAGTTTTGAGAAGCAGCCTCCTATGATCTGACTACCTCTGGGATCTGGGAGCCTCATTGTTTCATATGTAGTTCCTGCTGGTGATGCTGAGACTCCACAAAGAAGTGATATATCATCTATATAGGAAGACTCACATTAAAAGTATTTAAACTTTTGGTACTAAGAAACTTTTTCATCCTCCCTTACCCACTGATCCCATGCTTTAAGCCCTCTGGTTGTATTACTCAGTGATCTGAATCCCATGCTGCTTGTATTATTCCTCAGTGATGCTCTCATAAGGCACTCTCTTTTAATAAGTCCAAAATCCCTTTCCTGGAGATAATTTGTACCTCAAATTCCCTTCCCAAACATTCCATGTTCAATCCAGTGGGTCTTAGGTTGGGAACTGCAAGCTTTCAAATAAAGCAATCTACTCCTCAGCACTTGAGAATTTATTCTGATAGAAGAGAAAGGGATGATTTCAATTTAACATGTTCAGCATTATAACATGAGTCCCAGCTGGGGGCGGTGGCTCACGCCTGTAATCCCAGCGGCTCAGGAGGATAAGACAGGAGGATCCCAAGTTCAAAACCAGCCTCAGCAAAGGTGAGGCACTAAGCAATTCAGTGAGACTCTCTCTCTAAATAAAATATAAAATAGGGCTGGGGATGTGGCTCAGTCCATGAGTGTCCCTGAGGTCAATCCTGGTACCAAAAAAAAAAAGTTCTTTAACTGTGGGGCAAGGGAGGCAAGGACACTCATGTATAACTTTCTTACAAGATTCTAGTCGGGGGTCTGCAGACTCCACTTTGAAATACCACACGGTATGCTCTGAAGCCACAGAAGCACACAGTGCCTGCTTACACCTCCCTAGTAGTGACGGATCAGTAATCTCAAATCTATTCTGAAACAAGCAGTCAGGGACAGGGACACTGGTGGTAAGAAACTGAATGAACTGGGGCTGATTCTGTTCCCAATGTGTGGCATTTCTAAAGGCACTGCGTATTTTCCTTCTTTACCTGTGGGTGTCTTTCTCCTTGTATTTCTTCAGAAATCTGCAGAGCTTTTTCATACATCCTTTGTGCCTGTGATGGCTGCTTGGAGAACAGAAGGTAGCGTGCACAGGAGTCTAAGCACATGCCCAGAAGGAGGTGGGTATTGGCTTTTTCTTCCACTAAGAAAGAAATAAGAGCATTGCTATGGAAGGCAAGGCTGAGTTAACCAACCTGCCTCAGCATATTATTAAAACTATTTCATAATTACAATAAATGATATATTTGTATCTGGGATGATGGTACAAAAACAGGTTAATACAGAACCCACTGAATGGTTTACGTCACTTAGAAACACTCTTGACCTTATGTTAAAAGGAGACAATTTAGGTGAATTAACATCCAGTTAAATGACCTTCTGGACTAGCTGAAATTGTGGGACTTTTCCCCTCATTTAAAGTAGATTAAGGGCTGGGTTTGTAGCTCAGTGGTAGAGTGCTTGTCTAGCATGGGTGAAGCCCTGGGTTCAATCCTCAGCACCACATAAAAAACAAGCCAGGCACAGCAGTGCACACCTGTAATCCCAGCAGCTCAGGAGGCTGAATCAGAAGGATCATGAGTTCTAAGCCAGCCTCAGCAACAAGGTGCTAAGCAACTCAGAGAAACCCTGTCTCCAAATAAAAACAAATACAAAATAGGACTGGAGTTGTGGCTCAGTGGTCAAGTTCAATCCTCCATACCAAAAAAAAAAAAAAAGGTTAAATTCTTTGAAAAACAATAATAAAAGCCCCTACGTCAGTTAGAATGTGGAATACTTTTAATTTGAAGCTAGTAACATTTAGAAGAAATAGTTGAAGATAAACCCAAAGGAGAATGAGTCAATGCAAAGTCTAGAATGAAAAATCTTAAGAGGGCTGGGGTTGTGGCTCAGTGGCAGAGTGCTTGCCTCGCACATGTGAGGCATTGGGTTCAATCCTCAGCACCACATAAAATTAAAGATATTGTGTCCATGTATAACTAAAAATACATTTTTAAAAAAAGAAAAATCTTTAAGATGGGGAGTGGGGGAAAATCCACAATGCATTAATAATTCAGAGAACACTAAGATTTCTGAACTGAATGGAAAGTTTCAAGTCAAATTTTAAAAATTTGATCCAATTTTGGGGTGCACCTCTCAACATAATGCATTATCTGAAGAAGAAACTTAAAACATCTCATATCACATGAAAGGAACTGGAGAAAGCAGACCTACAGAACAGTAACTTGTATAAGTAAAGACTTTGGAGAGATGATCCAAATAATATACAAAAGTGAATAAGCAAGAGTAAATGGAAATTCTGCAAATTTTTTAAAAAGTAAATGTTCCCATAAAGGACTAAAAGGAAGTTACCTCAAGTAATCTCATATAACAAAATTAGCAGACACTTAACTGAAGCTGTCCAGTTGGGTTTACTTTTTTAACCAACAAAGCTATGGTTCATAGCAGACATTTCTCTTTCCATGTCTTCGAAGTTTTCAGAAAATTTACAACTGGCATACAGAATTTAAAGACTCATCAAATAAACTATGGTCAATATGAACAGATGGTTGAAATTACTGTGAAAAAATGATTATACAATGAAGAAAGGCAGCTAAAATTGAAAGAATAAGATCTCTTTGTGCCCCTTAAAGCAAGTTCATAAAGAGGAGCAAATTGTAAAAATATGAGAAGATTGAGAATACTGTACAACTCATAAAATTCATATCCTCTGAGAACATTGAAAGATAAGGAAAAATTTTCAAAATATACCAAGAAAATCACAAAACAAAATGTATGATTATTCTGATTCTGGACACACTATGCTCTAAAAATGATTACTAAATCTTATTCCAGGAATTTGTATTAATATATCTTCAGTTTCTGTATTTTTTAAAAAATGGTCTTTTTACATTTTATACTTAGAATAACTTCAAAAGTACAAGAATAAAGGGCTAGAGGTACAGCTCAGTAGTAAGAGTGCTTGAGGGGCTGGGGATGTGGCTCAAGCGGTAGCGCACTGGCCTGGCATGTGTGCGGCCCGGGTTCGATCCTCAGCACCACATACAAACAAAGATGTTGTGTCCGCCAAAAACTAAAATAAATAAATAAATATTTAAAAAAATTCTCTCTCTCCTCTCTCTCTCTCCCTCCCTCCCTCCTCTATCTTTAAAAAAAAAAAAAAGGAGTGCTTGAGTAGCACACACAAGGCCCTAGGTTCCATCCCAGTCCCTCAGAAAAACCAAAGAAATGAAAACAAAAAACACAAAAGCACAAAAATAAAGTGACAAGCAATTCTAATGGATAAAGTTATTGCTTTATCAGTAACAGCAATTAACTAGAGGAAAAGGGAGAAAGCATTATTACTGCGGTTCAATTCTAGTTATATTTTCAAAGAAGTATTTTAAAAATACATCTTAAATTCATATCACATTCTGACCACAATAAAAATGGAAAGATCTTTTGAAAAACCTGTTTTTAAAAAATATGACCAAGAGAAAAAAAAAGCATACTATAACACAATTTCAAAAAATTAGGCTTCATAAGAGAACTTTTAGCATTTGCCAAGTTAAGGGAAAATAGATTTGATAAGGTCAAAAAAAAAGAGTTCTGGGTGGTGCATATCTATAATCCCAGCTACTTAGGAGGCAAGGAAGGAGGATTGGAAGTTCTAGGCCTGCCTCTGCAATTTAGGAGACCATGTCTCAGAATAGAAAATAAAAAGTGTTAAGGATGTAGCTGAGTAGTAAAGCATCCTGAATTCAATCCCTAGTACGTATTTCTGTCTGTCTCTCATACACATACCCCATTAAAAAGTTTCGATTCTAAGAAATAATTATTGAAACATGGTTCTTTGAAAATTAATACAGAAACAGGTTATATAAGGAAAAAAATCAGCTTAATAATAAATAATAAATTGAGGTAGTTTATATAAATCCCCCAAAGGATCATTTGAACCTGGGGGAAAGGTCATATTTATTTCTTCAAACTTTATATTTTCATTATTTCTAATCATAGAAAAAAAATGCATCTTAAAACTTTTAGAAACCAGGATTTATTATAGAAACTTCTACTCAAAATATAAGCAAATAGTATTCTCAAATATACTAAGGAGCATTTACTCCAAGAATACAAGAATGGCTTAATGCATTAGCATATCAAGTTAGGCCTACACAAAACACAGACCAAAAACAAATTTGATGGAAGTACTGGAACAATTATATGCATTTATAAAACTATATTAATTAAAAAAAAAAAAAGTATCTCCTTTAGGAAAACAAGCACAGACCTCTCTAATCACCCTCTCATATCCCTCCCTAAACACCAATAACAATAAAGAAAAGTCTAAAAAGGTCTTCAGAACTAAAAAATATCAGCTGCCCAAATTCCAGGAACATCTTTGATTTTTTGCTAAATCAAACCTCTTGTTAATCAACCACTAGCACTTCCTGAAGACACAATGGTTTTAATTAAGGAGGAAAATAGAAACTAACCTAAGGTTTTTGGTCCCAGTAATATGACTGATAGTCAGAAACCCTTCTGCTTCAGATACCTAGAAATGTTAGATAAAATAGAAAAGTTAAAACCCTGAGAAGAAAGCATGTGAACTGACACAGCACACAGCAAAAAACACAGTTTTTGCTGGCTTTGTAGGGTGACCTGGGTGTTTCTGTATTCCAGGAATTAATACAGCCTTTGACTTGTGTAAAATGGAGAAACACATCTGAAGTCCTTGTATAAAATACATTCCCTATATGCATATCCCCTCATAAGCAAAAAGCCACTCTCTCATTGGACAAATTATCAATTACTGGAAGAGCTTTATTACATGTCTTTTTCCTTTATTAGAAATTTAGCTCCCTGAGGGCAGTGACTTCATTTATAGCTGGAGCTCATGCCTGGAGTATCTGGCACATAATAGGCTCTCTGCTTTCTCTTCACTGAATGGTTCAAAAACTGAACAAATTAATAAACAACACAAGTACTTAACTAAATATGAGAAAAAGATATTATGAAACTGAAAATTATAATTACAGAATTAAACAACAATTAGTATCTCATGAATCTATGAAAACTCAAAAAAATCATTAGAAAAGGATGGACTAATAACAGGCCTGGGCAACTAGCCATCCTGGTGGTGGTGGTGGTGGTAGAGGAGGAGGAAATTTTATCCCTATCTCATGGCATATTTTAAAACAATCAACTCTAGACTCCTGCATGTAGGGAGCAGAGAGAGACACCAGTCCAGAGGACAACTTGGGAACCTGACAAGACGGCCTTTAGGAAGTCTGCCCTGCAGGATCATCAGGAAACCTAGCCTTTGCTGGCAGAACCAGTTGCTGACATTACAGCAGAACCAGAGGAGAGCAGAAGCTATTATTTTCATGGGGTCATGGCTATCCCCAAAGATTTTTCTTTTGAAGGACAGCCTTTAAAGCTTGAACTATTCATTCCAGAAAATAGCCCATATCAGCACCTAAAGTATATCTCATAACCAAAATTTATAATCCTAATATAGATAACTTGGGATGATAATGTTTGGATATTCTGAAAGATAAATGGTCCCCAGCTCTGCAGATCCACACAGTTCTGCTAGGCATTCAGGCTTCATTAAGTGTCCCTCATCCTGAGGGTCCATTAGCAATGTAGTGGAGCAGTGGTAGACCAATGAAGCCCAAGTCCTATGAACAGCCAGACCATGAACTAGGCTGAATGCCATGAATAATATTTAAACTGGTCCAATCAGTAAGTATGCATCACTTCCATTCTACCAAGAACTTCTTATCTTTTGGTTTGCATTTAATGTGTATGGTCTCAGAAACATTACAGAATAAAACCTCAAATGCTATGGTGATTAAATACACATTAGCAAATCTGTATTGTCCTGATTCCCTATTATAAAGCACAAGCAATGGCTTTCTGCTTTTTATTCATTTCCCCAACCATGGTTTAAATATAAAGCACTGGGGCTGGGGTTGTGGCTCAGAGGTAGAGCACTCGCCTAACATGCGTGAGGCACTGGGTTCGATCCTCAGCATCACATAAATATAAAATAAAGATATTTTGTCCGCCTATAACTAAAAAATAAAAATAAAAATAAATAAATACAAGCACTATGAATAAAGGTAGCTGTCAAGAGTTAGCTACAAGGGGGTTTATGTTACT